GTTGCCATTAGCTACCAAGACAGCACGCCTTTGGAAAAAAGAATACTTGAAAGTGTGTGTGTGTGTGTGTGTGTGTGTGATGCAGCACCTGAGCTGTGCTTCTCTCTGCAGTGACTCAGCGCTACATCCAATACTCTTAACTGTGTACACTCGGCTTGGATAACCTGAGCTTCAGCCAGATAAGCTTCCCTTAAGCAGATTATCGTAATTAACCAGATAAACTGGGAGTAAGTCCAGATAACCAGGATGTAAAGCAGACAGACACATAGATTTAGCTAGATACACAGATTTAGCTAGATAATCTGGAATTAATCAGATAACCAAAACTTACACCAGACAATAGTTGACAAAACTGGCTAACTGGATTTAGCAAGATAACGTTGATTAAAACCAGATGACCTGGATTAAACTTGATAAACTAGAATTAATCAGATAATCAAGATCAACTGGATTCATCAAGATAATCTGGATTAAACCCAGATTTCCTGGGTTTGCCCACATAAATTGGAGTCAAACAACCAGATTACCAATAATTAAACTAAAAAAATCTAAATTAAAATCAAAACAATATGTTTTAGGCTTAAAAAAATCAGATAATATGATTTAAAACCTGGATTTAGCAAAAATAATCTGGAGTTCATCAGATGACCAAAACTGGACGATCTAGATTAATGACAAGCATTCCGGACTAAAGCTAGAAGTTAATCAGACGTCTAAAACATGACTTTAAAATGAACATGATATGGCACAGATAACCTGCATTTATGCATATAATTTGAATTAAAAACAGATAACCCAGATAAAAGCCCAATAATCCAGATTCTCTCACACAGCCTGGGCATCTGGACACAGACCCAAACATAGACCCAGCACACTAATCTGGACTTAAACAAGATAAACTGACCCTGACAGAAAGCTATAACTGACCAGATAATCTGATCTTTACCAAAGGATTAACAGGTAGCATCAGAAACCTGGAACACCACAGTCATAAGATCAAGGCAGGTATGTGTTTCTGAGTGTGTGAGTGTGTGTGTGGATTTGCTGGACAGACACTTTTACAATTTGGTGGAACCCATAATGCACTGCAGCAGGAGCTGGCATCTATAAGCAGCCCAGCAAAAGCCACAGGAGTGACCAAAACGAGCACAAAGTGGAAAAACACAACATCACTGCTGCACATCTGGACCGACTCGCTCACACCCACATCTGACCACTGGACACTACCACTTCAAAACCCGCGCATGAAATGCAGCGTGTGGTTCTTTATGAAGCGTGTGTGTGTTAGCAAACAACATTCCAGTCATATTTGTGGCAGGTTAGAGGTCAGTTTATAGCTCTGGTCTGCTTTGGACTGTGTTCGCCTTTCAACAACAAAACAAAACAAGACATCAAAGAATAAAGAAAGAGATTCTTCATTCCACCGCAGCGTATTTTAATTTGTTCATGCTCACAAGCACAAACGGCCTAAAATTAAAAGTATTCATATAAAAGTTTTTTGTTTTTATACTGTAAAAAAATGGTGTTTGTTTTGAGACAAGTGAACTAACAATAACAAGTTATCAGTGCAGTTTTTCTCCCAATATTGAACCTGTTAGCTAGGTCTCCCCCACTCACACAAAGCTCCCAAGCTGGGACGGTGAAGGCCACCCCATCTGTTCAAACTGCCACTAACTCAGCATTGTTGGACATCTCAACATGCTTGGAGGAGAATACTAACTGCTAATTCTGTTATGTCAGCTAACAGACATATATATTAACTAGCATGGTGTTGAGTGGTTGGGGAGAGGGAGGACCATTCGCTACTGTTAGTAAATGGCACTGTCCAGATCAATTTTAGCCCCCAAGGTACAGTGTAAATGTACCCTCAAAAGGGTACAGCAGTCCTTAAGGTCCAACTGGGTACCTTAAATGAGTTTAAAGGCATGCTGCCTTCACTTTCCCAGGAAAAAAGGCACATTTGTACCTTTACATTAAATAAAATGAAAAAGCCTAGAGTCAAGACTCAACATAAAGAATATGACTGCAACGTAATATGGCACAGTTGCGTTCCCTAACTAAAGACACTGACGACGTAAGGGGATATCACAGTGACAGCATCTGTACCCTGCATGATACAGCTTTTTTTTTCTCTGGGAGTTTACCCACCCAGTGAGAGGAAGGCTATTTATGCTCTCTTAGGCCCAATCCCATTTCATATTTTTACCCCTTCTCCTTGCTCTCGAGTGTCACCTTGCCCCTTGGAACTGAGTTACAAGGGGTAGTGGTTGAAATCTTCCGTACAAAATGAGACACAACCCTCAAATAAAAAGAATATTACTTCATTAACACTAGCGCCGCTCTGTAGGCGACCATGCCCATCGGCAGTGATAGCAGAGCAGGGTAAAATTCAGCAACCTCGCTGCTGGTCTTTAGTTACCTTTAAGGAATCATATGCCTTCAAAGTGGGGGGGATTATTTATCACCAGCCCTAATGCACCAACTGCTGCACCATTTAGGGTGGATTAGGAAATTTAGCTAGCTAGCTACTGAGACATCTATACTGATAGCGATTTTTATGCTTCTTGTGAAGAAAAAACCCATATTACATTGAAATGCCATTAAACTAAGATAATACCATGGTTCTCGTAACTTTTTAACAGAGGAATTACTCACATTTGTGGGTTTCTTTGGTCATTTGTGCCGGTTCTTCTTTTTTCTCCTAACACTCCGTTTGTAGTGTGCCTCTATAAAACCTCTATTTGGAGTGCCATGTAGCCCTAACACTTCGCCCTACCCATCCATCTCAACAAGAATCAGGACACCCTACCCCTAGATGTGAACACGCAAAACAAAGGGCTAAGCGGTAGGGGCGAGAGGTGAAATGGGATTGGGCCTTGGACTCCCAGCCACAGACGGCTGTGGCATGACTAAGAACGGAACTCACATTCTCCTACCAACAGTACCATGACTTAGATAGCTGCACCACTTCATAGCCCAAAGATAAGGTTTTTGCATACTGAAGAGATCGGAGCTTACACATTACAAATATAAGGGGGCGGGGCTGTGCGTATTTACAATAGTACTAATACTACTACTACTACTACTAATAATAATAATAATAATAATAATACTTACTACCATTATTTTACAAAATGAACTTGCTCAAGGGTTTTTTGTTCTTTCATTGAGTTCTGTTATTACCTGAAATACAGATTCAGTATTTGAGTGCATTCATGAGGTGCGTCACACTGGTAAGACTTAAAACGATAGTCAAATTTACAAATATAATGTAGTCGATCAGCCAAGACACGTCTGGATCTGAAGTTTGCTTCTTTAGTTTTAGTTTTTAGCTATGAGGCAATTCAGCTAACAAGTAGTGGAAGCTTATACTCCACCAATTATCATGGTGCTAATGGCATACCTAAATCATCACACACCCGCCTCAAACAGTGTTGACAGTCTTAAATAAAGACTTGCTTATGTGAATTCTGACACTGGATGACACACTTATCTATAAACATGGATAAAATCTGGACAAAATTCAAGCTTCAAGGTGCTGCTACTGTTTTCAGTTCTGCTAATTTACTATAGATGACAGTATAATATACAGTGTCAGAAACCACTTAAATAAGTCTATTTGAGATTACTTAACACCTTAGCATGGTTTGAGGTGAGTGTGATGTTAGTGCCATGCTAATTTGGGCATAGGTTTCTATTACTTATTAGCTACATGCTTTGTAGCTCCAGTGTAAAACTTCAGACACAAAACAAGTCTTGAATGATTAACAGGAAAAAATAAGTTTTGTTTTATCTGAGCTTTGTTGTGGGTTAAGTACTAGATCTGTGTGTAAAACCGATCTGTGTCACAGCCGGAAGCACCCTCAACTACAAAACACACACACACACACACACACACACACACACACACACACAGATACTCCACTGCAGGTTTCCGGCCCCCATATTGCCATCACAGCAGGAAAAGGTCAGAAATGACAGGTGGACAAAGGCAGGCCGTGTTTACATCACTGTCCAGAGTGTGTTGTCGATGTGTGTGTGTATGTGTGTATATCTGTGTGTGTTAGCTGTTGATAAAGGTCACATGCTTGTTTCTGTTGCTACACTGTTGTTGGAGGTGTGTGTCTGTGTGTCTGTGTGTATATTTATAGTTTGCATATTCATGTTTCTCATGTATTTTTTGAGTGTTTGTATATTTACTGTATGTGTACTTTTCTGCAGAGAATGTGTTTTGTGTATGTGTGTGCATTTATTGTGTGTCTATAAGTATTTCAAAAATGTGTATTTATATGTGAAGTCAAACAATTTAAATAATTAATTGCAATTAATCACATTATTTTGTGTAGTCATGATTAATCACAGGTCTTTTGACTCTAATTGGAACCTAAAGTAAGATTTGTTTCCATTTAAAAAGCAGCGCATTGTGTTATAGCTATAAAATAAGCTTCAACAGAATGCATTTATTAATCACAATAATTCTGTTTGCATCATTCTCATGAACCTGAACACAAAAATCATGAATTTCCAGTTTTCATCACCGATGTCTAGTAAGAGCAACACTGGCTGCATGTTTTAATAATATTAATGATTACAGCGCTCTCACTCTAATGCTTCTTGTTGATTTATTCATAGCTCTCTCCTCCACTGCTAACGTTACTAATATTAATGATATTGCTTGTATCAGTACTGTGTTTTGCTGACTTAAGACTGCAGTCTCTTGCTTTGTCAAGAGATCCATAAATGGAATTTGGCATTTAAAAGCTAAACAGTCACAGCATCTACACACAAGCAGCGTGGCTGCTTATGGATCAAAGGGTCAAACCAGGAAAATGTGTTAATGTGTTAACAGTTTTAATAAATTATTGCATTAAAGTCTTATTTACATTTTAAGTTCGACACCACTAGTGCAATATAAAAATACGTATAAAAATACAAGTAATTAAAGTATATAATGTATGTATGATTGTGTGCATGTGAGCAAACATAATATATAATCCTACCTGATATCTCCTCTAGGCACTGTTTGGCTGTTTTGCTGTAGATGAGTTCTTTAGTGGGACTGAGGCAGGGCTCAATTACTGCAGTACAGTCGTTCTCTGAGTACGTCCTAGAGAGAGAGAGAGAGAGAGAGAGAGAGAGAGAGAGAGAGAGAGAGTATCAGTTAAATTAGCTGCAAAACAAAATATGCATACAATTACAACATCCATGCTCCATGCACAAATTTATTCTTTTGTAGCTACTTGGGAGTTTGCTGTTGTGAGATTGATCAAGCTTTACAGAACACTCGAAAAATCCCAGTCAACCTAATGAGAAACTGTAGCTCACAACTCAGTTTATATCACAATACCTACATTTAGAGTGAGTTATTCATTCAACCTAATGAGAAACTGTAGCTCACAACTCAGTTTATATCACAATACCTACATTTAGAGTGAGATATTCATTCAACCTAATGAGAAACTGTAGCTCACAACTCAGTTTATATCACAATACCTACATTTAGAGTGACATATTCATTCAACCTAATGAGAAACTGTAGCTCACAACTCAGTTTATATCACAATACCTACATTTAGAGTGAGATATTCATTCAACCTAATGAGAAACTGTAGCTCACAACTCAGTTTATATCACAATACCTACATTTAGAGTGAGATATTCATTCAACCTAATGAGAAACTGTAGCTCACGACTCAGTTTATATCACAATACCTACATTTAGAGTGAGATATTCATTCAACCTAATGAGAAACTGTAGCTCACAACTCAGTTTATATCACAATACCTACATTTAGAGTGAGATATTCATTCAACCTAATGAGAAACTGTAGCTCACAACTCAGTTTATATCACAATACCTACATTTAGAGTGACATATTCATTCAACCTAATGAGAAACTGTAGCTCACAACTCAGTTTATATCACAATACCTACATTTAGAGTGAGTTATTTATTTCAAATGACATCTGAACAGTAGGGTAAGCAGAAACTTCACCAGCTTCAGCTGCTTTAGCACTGCTAGCTAGCTAAGTTAACATCATAGTCTACACAGCTAACTACAGTAGTGTAGCTGAATACAGCCTGAATTTAAAGACTTAGATGGAGCCTACATATTGTTTCTGTTTCTGCTGGAATGTCAGTGTATGGACCATTTTGGACCAAACCTTAACATCTAAGTTTCTTCATGTGAAATTAAATTCATTTTTTATTGTATTATTATTATTATTGTATTAATATTCAAAATTAGCTAAAACTGTCACTATTAGATTTTAGTCTAGTAGTCCAAGTCAGTTAAAACCCCAAAAGGTGTTGACTTTAAACCATTTCAGCAAAATGATCCATATATAACCCCACACAGAGCTGGGCGATATGGCCAAAAACGTTATCACGATAAACAAAACTCATATCGTTCGATATCGATACATACCGCGATAAATGTCAAATCATGATTTCTTTCACGTTTGAAGGCTGATTTTACTCCTGGGTGGTTAACTGTGGTTTTAAACTATCACTTATGGTCCGATCATAACAAACACTCGGCAAACAGTGGAACATTTCACTAATCTGTCTTGGGACAGTGGGAGAAAGTTTCTGAGCTGTTTTTATCAGCTGGAAAAGCACAGCTGCAATTTTTGTAATAGTCGTTATTTAAGAAAGAAAACAGATTATTTTTAGCTGTCTGGTGTCGAGCGCTCGGCTACCCCGCTACAAACGCTAAACAAGTGGCCAACAACAGCGCTAAACTCTTTAGTTTCTCAACAACGTCACTCGGTTCGGTAGAGCACGGTATTCCGTACACTTGCAAATATTTCTGTCTGTGTAATAAAAAACACTTTCTTGACATTTGTCAAAGATGCATCTGAGACATTGCCATATATCCCTTTTTCCATCAAATCGGTTGGAAAGACCATCTAAGCTGGGTTTGGACACCAAATCTGTGCAAATAGTGACCGACCCCCCCAGCGCCACACGAACATGGCGGGTGGGGAAACCCAGGGATGCGAATGTGAGTGGGGTGGGGAAACTTTCACGGCCAGTTAAAATGCATTTTAGCACATTTAAACATCATATTTAACACTTAAACGAATATTAAACAATGGATCATCCCCACGAAACACAGCATGTTTAGTACTGAGTTGTTAATCTAAGTTTACACCGTCAGCTAAGTGACCTTAGCAGATTCCTTTCAACTTCACAGCACTGACTCACTTAACTTTTTTTTTCATGGTAGCCTCATTCATTGCACAATTGTTTATAATAATTCAATTTTATAATCAGTATAATCAGTTAATGTCTATTTTTATGCAATTAGGTTTCATAAAACTTCTAATAAACTGCAGGGAAAACACTGTACAGAAAACTGCTCCCTCTGTGGAAGCTGGTGTGCGGAGTACTGACGGTACAACACCGCGGACGCAGATGACGGTTTTTTTCTTATTTCTTTAAAAGTATCGGTCCAAATGTGACCAATCAAAGTGCATATTGGTTGCTAGGCAGATTTTGCAGAGTCCAACCAATCATTAAATCGTGTATGACTTCGGGTATTTCCGCAATAACTACTAAAACGCGAAAAATGCCGAAATACTGCACAGAATACAGTGCTCTTACGTTAGGTCACTGCTGTCACTCCTACCACATCCATGTCAGAGCATATCACAGTATCAGACACTGGATTTCTCTATGCTATCGTAGTAGTTTAAGGGGTGAACCGCAGTATATCTGACGTTTGCTGTGTAAAAGCATTATCTGCAGTGCGAATCTCTCACACCAGCCACAGAGTCCTCCTTTTAGGTATGTTTAAACTGAAAGCGGTGATTCTGTGTCTTGTTTGATCTACAGTATCATTAAGTCGCCGTGCTGTGCGAGTGACGAAGCGCGGCTTCAATTAGCCAGCAGCTAAAAACAGCTAGCCTGGAAAGATAGCGCTCTCTCCAATGCCTCACAGCTTCCTCAGTTTACTGTCGTTTAAGTCAGGGCTGTAACTCACATTAACCCACTTCTTTCTTTCACTTTCGTTGCTCGTGAATGCACTGATACTAAAATATGACGGTTTCGGGCGCTGTAACACGCGCGTAGTGTGAGGATTGTGATTTATCGCTGCTAAAGCTGGTTAGGATGTACAGAAAGGTGAGTTCACCATAGGACAGTACAGTTACACCACTGACCTCGTCACTCGGTCACAGGAGAACAGATCGCCGGTCGCTCCACTCAGACAGGGCCTGTATAACTCCGCGTTTCAGCCGTTGCTAAAGTATATTTGGCGACCCTTTTTTACTCGTGGCCCCCTCCCTCTCTAATCATGTAGAAAAACTCGGAAGTGCGCCCTCTCCTGGCGACAGCAGAGTAGTGTCGCTTTCCTTGCAGTAGAAAACGCCACCGGGGCTTTCGCTAAAACGTGGAAGTGTGAGAATGGTGAATTATATTTATCGAACCTGTCTTATCGCTCTATCGAGGAAAAGTTATATCGCGATACTTATCGTTATCGTTTTATCGCCCAGCCCTAACCCCACATAAATAATGTTATTGTGTTTCACCATGAATCCCACGTACACACCATCAAAATGTGTTCCTTTAACTTCTGGCAGGCCTTTCACACACACACACACACATTTGAAGCAACAAAAATAAATAAACAAATCTGCAGGGGAAAAAGAGAGAGGGAGCGGGTAACGTGTCAGACTCTTCAGGGCTAGGTGAGGAAAATTATTCAAATGAATTTAGAGAGGAAAAAGAAGAAAGAAACAGATGGAGCAGGTCAACTCAGGACACACACACACACACAAACAATATACACTGCTCATGAAAGTGTGGGGACACATTGTGTTCTTTTGAAAGGGAAGTAATAAAGTAATTAATTAAGAGCAATAAAGCGAGTATTGTTTGGTTTTGACAGTTACTTTTCAATTAAAGTAAGGCTTTATTATTAGGGTAACACTGTCACTAATATCGGCACAAATATTTACACATGTAATACAGTCTTCTAACACTGGCTGAGTTTGTTACGCTGATATTCAGTTCTCTAATATTCAGAAGTTTTGGCATTTTAAAGCCACAAAAACTGTAGCTTAAAAACAAATATCATCAGCAAAGGCTTATAGATGGAATAGTTACTATGATCACATGGAAAATATTAAAAAGAAATAAATTATAGCTGGTTTAGCTGAATGCAGTATCAACTCACCTTAGAGCACAACAAACTATACCGCTTTTCACCAGGCCAATGAAGCTATGGGACGATGTCCTATTGTTTTCCTCTAAATAAACTTGAATAGCCTTGAATGTGGTAACTGATGAAGAAAAAAAGGATCTTTTGGATTAAAAATAACACGTCAGTGCCAAGATTGTGAATCTTCGAGCTGACGATTCATGATTCATTGGTTATCAATTCAATTTGAAAGGGTTTTTGTAAATTAAGAAATGTTCAATTCAAGTCAATAAACAATTCGATTCAGTGATTTGATTCAGTGAATAGATTAGGCTCTCAAGCCTCTTTAGGAAATATTGTAATGCATTGAAAGTGTTCCTAACTGAATCTGTCAAATTACTTTAGTAATGTGTATTGCAACATTCTTATTTTAATTCCCTAATAGGCAGAAATGGTCTTATATGGGCACTGCTCTGCCTGTAACCTAATGTCGCACCTACTACACAATTCCAATATTAAGTGTGTTATGGATTAGAACTCTGCACAGACAGGTGTGTGTGTGTATGTGTGTGTGTATGTGTGTGTGTGTGTGTGTGCAGGGGTTCTTAATTATCTACACATGAATAATAAACCTGTAACAGGCCTGTGTGTGTGGGTATGTGAAAGTGTTTTGTGTGTGTTTGTAAGTGTGTGTGTGTGTGTGTGTGTGTGTGTGTGTGTGAACGCTGTTTAATCTAGAGAGGGATTAGAGCCAATCACCAACACACACACATACACACACAGGCTTACAGAGAAAACAACAAATAGTTGTGCATCCTCTCTCTCTCTTTCTCCCTCTCTCTGCCTTTCTATTCTCGTTACTTTTTCCTCATTCTCTTTCTTTCTTTCTTTCTCTTTTTTCCCTCTCTTCATGCTTTCTCTCCATCAGTCTCTCGCACTCTTGCTTGCTCTTCCTATCTCTCAGCCTCTCTCTATTCTCTTGTTCTTTCTCTTTCTTCACATTCTCTTTCTCATTTTCTTTTTCTCATCCCTATCTCTTTCTTTCTTTTCTGTCTCTCCTCTCCCTCTTTTGCTTTCTCTCTTCATCTCTCAGTCTGTCTATATTTGCACATTCTTTTTCTCTTTCTTCATTCTCTTTCTATCTTTTTCTATCTCTTTGCCTCATATTCTTCTCTCTCTCTCTCTCTCAATCTCCCCCTCTTTCCTTCTCTCTATTTTCTCGCTCTCTCTGTTTCTTTCTTTACACCATGTCTCTCTCACCTTCTGTCTCTTTTTTCTCTCTTCTCTCTTCTCCACTTTCCCTCCTTCTCTTTTTTCTCTCAGCTTCTCTACACTGTCAATCTTTCTCTCTTTCTTCATTTTATCTCTCTTTAGCCTTGACAATGCAATTCAGAACCCAACAGTCTACAGCCCTAGAGTCTGCTATTGTATTGCATTTCAGTTTATGACTCAACAGTTTTGAATATTTTCTACAAGAAAGTTCAGGAAGTTTGTTTGGTGCTGGTGCTGGTGCTGGTAAACACTAACAGACGTAGAGAGTTACAACACAGAGAGCTGACCGAAAAACATCACCTCCATCTAAACAAGGTTTTTACTCTTATGTGAAGACTCCATGTCATTCTCAGTAAGAAAGAAAGTTGGGTTGTATCATCACAAGCTGCCCACAATCTGGAAAAGCCAGGTTGCTCCCACTTACACTGTCACTGTACCGACAGTATTGACATAGTATTGAAAGAGTACAGATACTCTACATCTCACACTTTATGGTCAGTATAAATGGGAAATCATTATGCTTTTTCTTTTAATACCTTGACATATATCTGAGTGAAACATGGTCAGGGATGACCATCAAGCATGGTTGTAAAGCTAGCTGATCCTTTTCTCTCAATGACTGGTGGTGTGGTACAGCAGTATGAAGTTAAGATCGACATACAAGCAGGTGAACACCTCACAGCACTAGCAGTGTCTAGTTAATATGTTGATATGTAATGTAGTTAACTAGAAATGTGAACTGGCAACTGCTCTCTGCTCTCCAGGAGTTACATTCAGTCTAAGCTTTGTTTGCCAATCATGTCATGTAACTCCTAGGTCTGCATCCGAATTGTTGAATGAAACTATCGTTCCTATCTGCTTTACTTGATTTTGCCTGATCTGAAGCTTATGGAATTGGCAGAGCTGACCAGCATGTGGCTACAGATCGGGAAAAATCAAGGAAGACCAATAAGAAAGGAAGTTTCATTCAACTATTTGGATACAAGCCCCGTTTTGCTGTTTGCTCTCGAACATTTCTTTATTGCTCCTTGATTAAAAATGACACTGAAAGGCTGCACAATGCAGCAGTGTAGTTGTTTGTCCTATTTTCAGCTGCTTACGTCAGCCAAAACAACTGTTTACCTCCAGTGCAACCATGTGACATCACGCAGCCAATGTGCAATGTGCATCCAATACAATGGCGGCTCCCATATGTCAAACATCTCAACTAAAGCCATGCCTTTTATAGTAAAAATAACATTTTGTGCAATTTGTGAGGATATTTACCCCACATTTAGGTCTACAAGTCTTACTATCTGGGGTTCCTTTTAATATGACCCCTCCTCACCAGGAGGCCACTGAATGTTTCTGGCTGTGGAAGTAAAATTCAGTCAAATATCATCATCAATTATACTTAGTGTATTTTGAACTATTGGAAAATTTTAAATGAAGTGAGGAATATCACATATTTTATGGTTTTGCATTTAAAACCCCTGTTTTTGACCACGCTTGATGGAGCAGTGTGTTAAAAAACACACAGCAGAACAGTACTGACTGCACTGGTGTGTAATGGTGATAAACATTGATGACTTGCACAGCGTCCTCTCTCAAACAGCCCAGAAAGAGCGGCATGGAGAGACTAGCTAAAAGCTAATTATTCCCGGCCTCCTACGGACTTGGAACTCTTCTCTGCCTCCCCGTTGAGTATAATTAAAGAGAGTGTGTGCCACTGTTTAATGGAGTAAAATAATGATTGCATGACTTAAAATAGAATACCAGGCCTAGATCTTTCTCTGGAACCAGCTTCAGAACCTTATACTTCTAGCCTTTGGGCTGATGTGTATGATTGCTGGGAGGCTCTAGAATGTTCTCACACATTCACACTGGTTCATTTGGCTCAGTAGTTCTTTTTCTGAACAGTATAAAGTCAACATCAGAATAATGGTGCTTGATGGTGAGCTGTGGTGGTTGTTACAGTATGACAATATCTATCAGAGAATGAACAGTTATGTGGATTATGTTGATGGCTGTAGTGGAGAAGGATGATGTTTGGTGGAGAATAGTGGTGTTGGGTGGAGAATGATTATTAACATATGATGATGTTTGGTGGTGAAGGCTAAATTGCTGAAAACTTCTGGACTGTTTGCACTGTACACTGAGAAGTATGTTTTGAAACTTAACATTAAATACATTTTTTCCTTCTTTACCACCCACCTGCATATAAAAGGTGCAACGGTTGCTGTGTTGGGGTGATTGTGCTGCTGTTGCTGGGGTAGTTGTACTGCTCCATTGCCCCCCAGCACCCCTCCTCCTCCAACGGTGGAAGCAGTAGAACCAGAAAGAGCAGAAGTACTGGTGGAGGAAACCATGCTGCTCTTCCTGCCTTCCAGACGCTGCATGTAGTACGCCTGTCCTCCTTTGCCGCTCTTTGCCTTCTCTCCACCTTCTTTAACCGGCGCTCCCGCCAGGCCGGGCTGACCTCCTGCAGACTTGGTGTTGGCTGAAGCTGCCGGAGCCTTTAGCCCAGGTTTAGGGATGCCGCTGGAAGCCGGGATCGCACTTTCCTTCTTTGCTGTGGGCGTCTTACCTCCTTTAGGGATCAGGCTAGCAATTCTGGACGTCTTCTTAGCAGGTTCTACAGGTGCTGGTTCTTCTTTAGGTGGACTGCTGGCTTTACTTTTGCTTTTGCTCTTCTCCTCTTTGTCTTTAGGCTGGGGAAGAGACTTTAAGGCGTTCTTGTTGGTATTGGTACTACTACTTTGACTGTTAGCAGTAGTAGCAGTTACGCTAGCTGTGCTCTTGTTTTGGGTCAAGACAGAGGATGCGGGTGTCTTGCCCTGCTGCTTGGACACTCCATTGGATGGCACTGGGCTACAAGACCCTTCATCTCCATATTCTGACAAATCATCTTCTTCTTGTAGAGCCATTTCAGCCATGGAAGGCGAAGTCCTGGATGCAGAACGTGGATTTATGAGGCGAAACTTCTCCAGCATGGACCGCTGGTTCCCAGGGGCTGATTTGGAGGCATCATTTAGCGCAGGCCGTTGGCGGTCAGCAGCGGACGGAGGAGGTGGAGAGGATGTGGGGCTGGTGGCCAGCATGGAGGAGGTTGCACTGTGCTTCATGTTCATGGACTTGCTGCGCCAAGCCTTGCCTGCGGTCGGGGAAGGGATGGATGAGGCCAGCTGCTGGCCACTGGTACTGCCGTTCATGCTGCCTGCTAGAGGTATGGACTTCACTGATTCTGTGACAAACAGGAGATAAGATCAGATAGGGTAAGATACTTCACTGATTTTTCAGTCTCATTTTATTTGGAAAGTCCCCTATAGTCCCCTATAGCTTATCTACAGATGTTCAAATTGTTAACAAACTATCTGTTGATTCTAAACAGTGGTAGGGTTAGGGTTAGGATTTGGACCAGGGTTAGGGCTAGGACCTGGTGAGGGTTGGGTTTTGGTTTTGGATTGAGGTTAAGGTTAGGGTTAGTATTAGAGCCGGGTTAAGAGTTAAAGAAAATTATGGTCAATTTAGTAGATATTTAGTGAAATGTAGCTTGAAAGTAAATGAGGTATCTACAAAGCATCTAAAGTGGACTATCCAAATAAACTGTCACCAAAAATCCTATATTTCCAAGAGTAATCGTATGTAGTATGGTGTATAAGCATAGTATTAGAAACACATACTGTTTTGGTGTTAATGCTGTTATTAATATGATGTGAAAAAAACAAAAACAAATATATATATATATATATATATATATACATATATATACACACACACATTGTGAAGTACTGAAATTGAGTCAAGCTGCACATTCTAGGCTGGGAGCGCCCTCTGCAGGATTATACCACATAAGAACATTAACACCAAAACAGTATGTAGTTCTATACAGGCACACACACACGCATATATATACTTCAAAACAACAGCGTTCTAGCTAGTATGATATACAGAGTGTATAATGGATAAGATTACATTCAACTGGAGAAGGAGAGAGGAGGAACACGAAGGTTTTGTCAGGATTTCAGAACACAGTGAATATTGTTATGTTGTTTTGTTGTTTTGTTGTCTTTTGCTCTGCCGTCCCCTGCCACAGTGAGATTTCAGGCAATGCTGAGAGGCACTCAGGCAGAAAATTGGCTCCCAAATTGATTTGGTAGAATTTCAAACAGTTGACGCTCCCTTGTGTTGGCTAGCCCTTCTATTTGTAGCTGTTGTGGGATGTAAGTGTTGTGGGGAATCAGAATAATTCAGATTAAATCATGAGTCAACTGAGACGTTCATGAACATTTATAACAAGGCACACATTTAGGAAATGCTGCAGTGCTAGACAATAGAGAGATAATACACTACCAGTCAAAAGTCTGGAATCACCGTTTTTAGATTCATTCATTCAGACATTCATTCAATCATCTCTGTGCCATGCCACTGCGGTTCTTTTCACTTCCACCCTTCTATCTATTAATTCATTTCACATCCATCACTTATTCATTCATCATAATGCCAGACCAACATTTCTATCAGTATAATACGTGCATACACTAAATAATACATTCATTAATAATCAACTAGTTCCTATTACCATGCCAAACCACCACACTCCTTGAATCCATTAATTTATTCATTCATTCATGTACCCATCCACCAATCCATTCATTCATTCATTCATTCATTCATTCATTCATTCATCCACCACTATGTCAATTTCTGGGATCCATCCAACCATCCATCTATCCATCCATTCTTTCTTTCATGCATTTATTCATTCATTCATCTGCCAGTCACCATGTCAATTCCTAAATTTAAGTATTAATTTGTTCACTGAAACATTAGCATGCATGAACCTCCTCTAATCTCTGAGCTAAAACTGCTCTATAATCCCCATTATAATCTCCCTCACTCTGAAAATACCAACAGTGGAAGAGAGAGAAAGAGAGAGAGAGAGAAAGAGAGAGAGAGAGAGAGAGAAAGAGAGAGAGAGAAAGAGAGAGAGAGAGAGAGAGAGAGAGAGAGAGAGAGAAGGAGAGGACAGAGAGAGAGACAGGAATAGAGAAAAGAGAGGAGAGTGAGGGAGAGAGAAGAAGAGATAGATGGACAGAGAGAAAAAAAGAAAAAGAGAAATAGATATAGCAAGCAAGAGAGATAGAGAGACAGAGAAGAAGAGATAGATGGACAGAGAGTTTAACTTGATGTATGTGCATGGAGACTTTACCAGCACTGTGAATGGGCTGTGTGTGTTAGTTAAATTAACCACATGTTAAAGATAAGAGCAGGCTGGATAACTCCACTTCTCTCATTCCTACACACACACACACACACACACACACACACAAATATAAAGGTCAGCCTGTCAGCTTGCAGTTACCATAGCAACCCGCCTTTTTCTCACCACTTACTTCATCCACCGGGAGTGAAATGTCACATTTAGAGTGGTGACAGATCTCACACACACACACACACACACACACACACACACACACACACACACACACACACACACAAACACACACACACACACACTGATAAGAGACTGAGATTGATGCTGTGATTTTGATTTTGCAAATGTGTAATCTAACCTTTACAAATATTTCTACCGGAGGCTGGGTCACCTCTCTGTCTCTCTCGTGCTATCTCTGACTCTATCTTTCTTTCTTCATCTTTCTTCTTTCTCTCTCTGTCTTTTTTCATTTTTTCAGTTTCTCCTCCAGTTTTACCTCTTCTTTCTGGGTCTACCTTCTAGGATATGTTTATCTCTGTTTCTCATTCTCAGGCCAAAACACACAGAGCCCAGAGACACGTGTGTGTCCTATGTTTAGGGCTGTACAATACAAATTAAACCACCAGTATTGTGATTATATTGCTACCCACCGTAATTGTGATAAACCTTGTAATATACACACAATTAACTGACAGTTAAACACTTTCTTATTTTAACTAAAATAATTTCCTTTTGTTGGAGAATATGAATATGTTGATTCATTAAAACACCCACAGTAAGTCATACGGAGCTGTGATGGGTCAGAAATTTGCATAATGTAGCTTTCCGGGATGTCAGTATTGCAAAGTGTGTCAGTATGTCAGTATTGGTGATTCCAACATCACGATTAATAAATAATATATTGTGCAGCCCTAGTTCTATCCATCACAAGAGAGCACCATTAAGATTAAAATGATAGTTCAGCCAAAAATCTAATTCTCCCCCTTACCACAAATGTAGTCAATCAGCCAAGAAATGTTAGGTGTCTGAAGTCTACTTCTTTAGTTTTAGCACCAGAGCTATGAGGCTAATGTGGCTAACAAGAATGGACACTTATTCCCCAGCAGTTAACATGGTGCTAACTTCATGACTAACTTTCACACACTCGTCTCAATCTGAGTTAAAGTGATCTCTAACAGACATGCTTATGTGGTTTCTGACACTATATGACACACTGTAAACATGGATATCTGTGCCCGTTTATTATAGATAACATAATGTCATACAGTGTCAGCAACCACATAAGCAAGTCTTTTATAGAATGTTAGAGTGATGAATTAGAGACTGGCTTTGGTTGGCAGCTAATGGCTTGCAAAGGTATTTAAAAATAAAAAAATGCCTTTTTGTTTCCTGGTGGAGCAGGATAATCATCAAAATTTGCAGAACAAAAGGGTGTGTCATTGATTTTATAGAATGTAAACAGAACTTTCATACTGATGCTGAAAACTGAATTCATATTTGAGCTGTTTTTGTGTTCTTTAACAGTGGTGCCATCTAGTGGATGACAGGAATGTGACAGCAGAACCTAAAGTTCTTGGCACTTGGATGGAAAAGAGCGTGTGTGGAATGGCTGAGGAGTGTGCATGTGCCTGTTACCTCTGTCGTTTCCGCTGGCATACTGCAGTGGTCTGCTCTTGTCGATGCTGTTGAAGCTCTGGCTCCTGCGGTTCAGAGCGGTGGCTGAGGCCGGAGCTTTGCTGCTGCTGCCCGCACTGCCTGCAGCGGGGGATCTGGAGGGACCTGGCAACCTGAGACACACACACACACACACACACACACACACACACACACACACACACACACACACACACACAGTGACATCAGCATGAGTTAACGCAAGGATAAATGCTAGACGGTGTCAGTCTCTCACAACGATTCAGTTATTATTTATAATTATGATTCCTTAAGAAATGATTCAGTGATTCATCAAATGTCAAATTCCACCATTTGATTCTTTTCATAAGATTCAGAATATTTTTTTTAAATATACTGAATAAACAAATGTAAATGAAAGTCTATGCAAGTAGTAGTGAAATTAAGAACTACATACCAAACTTTATTAAAATATTTTACATTTGATGACTGGGAATTTTATATGATTATTAGAGATTATAAATGGTTATAAAACTAACACTTTAGACTGACACAAACATAATACAGCTTCAAAACAATGTTAGTGCACATCGAAATAACACACATACACACACAAAACAAAAAAGAAATAAAGACAGAAAGCAAGAATGCAAGAAAGCAAGAAAGAAAGAAACAAACAAACAAAGTAGGAAAGTGAAATGTCGCCCCCTGCTGAGAGAAGTAATGCAGTGCATTAATAACAGCGCTGTAATAAGTTTAATAAACGAGTCTCTACACTCTGTGTGCTCTGAATACATAAATCTTACCAATTACAGATAATAATCTCTCCATTAACTCTCACTGTTAACATTTACATCAGATTATTAAAGATTAAAGACAAGTCAATCAACTGTGCTGCTGATAGATTTAGCACAAAACTGCTCTTTAATAAGTTTAAAACTTTGTACAGTACTAATACAAAACACCAAAACTTATCTGAACACACACACACACACACACACACAACCCTATCGTCAATTCCAAACACTCTCTCCCTGTCTAAAAAAGCCAGACTGACTAAAGCCCAGCAGAAGTGTGTTGAAGGGGACAGTGGGTTAGTGAAGAGCGCAAAATGTGTCTCAGGATTATTATTATCGCTAAACCAAAAATGTGCAGTGCAAAAATAACCTGTAAAGCTCACAGTCTTGCTGAAGAAAGTCTACTGCTCTGCTCATTTAGCATCACTAAAGTTATCAGAAGCAAATAAGTCTGCTTTGTAATTACATCCTGGTTTCTGACCAAACGTCCACCATAACACTAACAACTAAAACTAAAACTAAAATTAAATCACATTTTCCTTTACAGGAAATGAAACTGTCAACTGACTCTCATAACTAACTGAAACTAAACTAAAATTAACCCCTTAAATGGTCAGGACCCACCGGCTGGCCCAAACTTTTATTACACACTTCTATAATCTAAGAATAGCTCAGCCAGTTTGCATTGAAGTCCCTGTAATTACTGAATAATAAGCCTTAGTATGTAATAAGCCTGGGATTTTAAGGGGCTCAAAAGCAAAATTAAACTAAATAAGAACAAAAACTAATTTCAAAACAATAACAACCCTGGCGTGTAAGTGAACCAGCACTCTGGTCTGAGTAATGAAAGGCATGAGCTGGACAGTGGTCACTCCCTTTTGGGTGGTACTGGAGTGTGTGTTCACACATATACAGTGCTGTCTGTAAGCAAATGCACACGTACACTGCTGTTCTGGGGCACTGAATTAGAGAGGGAAACTAAACTATTATGATCAAGGGTAGGGGACTGGGGGTATAAGATGTTTGACCAAACTATCGCTTTAATATGAAAAGTAAATGAGTGTTTCTGCAACTATTAAGGCCTGCTCTTTTGAGGGTCCACACTCGTTTAACTATCTTACACTGTTAGAAATGAAGGTTCTGCGCAGGTACATTTTTCATTCATCAAGGTACAAACAATGTAAATGTGCCCTCAAAGGTACAACAGTGGCTTTAAGGTCCAACTCTGTACCTTAAATATGTTTTCCCAGGTGATCCCAGGTGTGTTTATTTCTTTTCATAATCTAATGTTATAAACAAAATATATGTTATATGTTATATGTTATAACAAAATAAAAAGCCTGGAGACGAGACGGGGTGTGTGGAGTCTATACAACTTAGAAAATATAATTTCCGTGGATTATGGTCCCTGACTAAAGGTACTGAGATGTACTCTTTAGGGTACCACCCCAGTGACAAGAGGGGTACTGCCCCAGTAACAGTTTAGTATCTTTATTTCTGAGAGTGTAGTATCATAGTAGATACTGATAAAATAATAGTAGTTACAGAACATTTACAAGTAGATGGTAAACAATTACATTGTAGAAAATGAGAGGTTTACCCAACTCAAACTTCTTAGTTGAGTTAAGCTAAGTTAAAAACAACAAATATTTTCTCCAGTGTATTAAACATTTGTGGACACAAAATCTGAGCTGTTTCATGTGTTCCTGAGTGGTGCAGTGGACCAAGTCAACTCAACAGGAGGTTGTGAGTTTGAGCCCTGTTGATGCCATAGCCATCCATAAGTGCGTATTCAAGAGGGAAAATGTCTAGCAGGCTTGTGTGATGAAAAGAGTCCTGGCTAGTGGGGAAGTTGAGTTTAACAAACAGGTCTATTTTATTTACCTAACTGAGATGCAGAACTAAAAAATTTAGAGAACTTTTGACTCAACTAAGAAGTTTGAGTTGTGTGAACTCTTGTGTCTTCAAGTTGAATCGACTCAAGAAAAGACATGTAGTCAGTTACTATATAATTTTGAGTTGAGCTGACCTCTCATTTTTAACAGTGTATAGTAGTTACTGCACAATTATAGCAGCTAATGAATAATTCATTATAGTTACTGAATAATTCATAGAAGTTACTAAATAATTTATAAGAGAAACAGAATAGTATAGTGGTTGCTGTAAAATTCATAGTAGATACTGAAAATTATATTCATGTGTTTGCTTGTCTAAAATAAAAATCTGTGTGTGTGTGTGTGTGTGTGTGTGTGTGTGTGTGTGTGTGTGTGAGCCTTCTGAATACCCTACCTTGTGTTTTTCTTCTGAGGAGCTGCTATTCCACTGTGAGCTGTTGGGCTTGCATATCGTGCCGTAAGACTGCAGAAAGAGAGAAAAAGCGAGAGAGTGAGGGTGGGACAGATAGAGAGAGAGGAGAGAAAAAGACAGAAGAGGTAGGAGAGAGAAAGAGAGGGAGAGACACATAGAAAACGAGAGAGAAAGAGCGATAGAGCTGAATTGGAGCGTGTTTTACATGCCCTCTCTAATGTAATAAAGGCCACGCTCTCCAGCTGCCTGCTCTGTCCACAGTATGCCTCTGTATGTGTGTGTTAGTGTCCACTTTCACGTGGTAAGTCACACACACCTCGTCAAGACATTCACACAGTACCAGTCCATCCTGCAAGGGGGTCTGACACAGCCTAATTAACCCTTCAGACACTCAGAAAGCTTGGATTTCCATTTTTAACACTCAAACAGAACAATGAAAAGATTCCAAACAATTAAATGTCAACAGGACGTTTTGTTGACATTGAAGCTGGAATCAGCACTGCTACAGTGATTGTTTTGGCAGCCAGCCAAGATTAGATCACCAACGGGACTCTTTGACTACTGCGGGTCACACTACACTGGTCACGCTTCCAATAATACTGCAAAAATAACAGCAAAATCCAGCCAGATTCTGACTGATACCACATATGTTCTGTTTTATTTAAAAAGCACATCGTTCATACGATCCACTCAGTCGTTCTGACAGATTGTAATACACTACAGGAAGTGTAGGGGGAGATATGGCCTCATTGTTTTATATAAAAGCGCTCTGTAAAAGACCTCAGAAGTCATGTCGTCATTCTGTAGTCAGTGTCTATCTCTTTCTCTCTCTTTCTACCCCCCCCCCTACCTTTTCTCTTTCTCTCTATCTGGGGTCTGTTTGATAAATTAATCCCACCAGTCTGCCCAGGTGAGGAGAATAATGAAGACCCTTCTGTATATTTCTGCACTTTCACTTTCGCTTCTTTTCATTTTCTTTCCTCTTTTGTAATTTGTCTTTTTTTTTCTTTGTGGCTCTTAAGACAGATCAGCCTGGAGCAGGAGAGGAAATCAGAAATAGAGCAGAGGGAGAGCAGAGAAAGAGAGAGAGAGAGAGAGAGAAGCAGAGAGAGAGAGAAGGAGAGGACAGAGAGAGAGACAGGAATAGAGAAAAGAGAGGAGAGTGAGGGAGAGAGAAGAAGAGATAGATGGACAGAGAGAGAAAAAAGAAAAAGACAGGGAAACAGAAATAGATATAGCAAGCAAGAGAGATAGAGAGACAGAGAGATATAAAGAAAAGAAAGAGACAGCAGAGAGAGAGAAAGGAAAGAGCAAGACTATGCACTGCAGCAGCAATCCAAGCTACTTTTTTATGTAGACTAGTACAGCAACAATCAGTTAAGTCAATTAGTAAGTTAATTGTGTCATTGATGACATAATATGTGTCATTTGTCGGAAAAAAGCGCTATAATGTTCATATGGTGGACATGTTCATATGGCTTCTACTGTTTCATTTAAAAAGCACTCTATAATGCTCTGGCACATTTACAAACATCATGAAAAGATGATATTGATAAATGCGTATAGTTTTGGTAAAATAAATAAAGTAAACTATAAAGTAGATTAGTCATAACAAAATTAATGTAAAGCTGCGGACCATCTTACTTTCTACTTTCTACTACACTGTTAACACATTTCCAGTTCATCTGATTCAGTTACAGTCGATTTACTGGAGCTCTATAATTATTCAGAGTCAGCAGCAAGAACAGCTTGTGTATTTCAGTGTGTGTACGTGTATGTGTGTGTATGTGTGTGTGTGTGTGTGACTGTTGTGGAGTCATATTAATGCAGCCTGTCAACACAGTGCACTTAGTGACACACACACACACACACACACACCATGCAGAGCATCCACCTAGACAGTTTGTCTAGCCATAGCTAACATTATATCAAAATAAAACATCAGAAATCTAATGGCAAATTAGAACAGCATTCACAGTTAAAATAAAGTGTTGTAAAGCATGTATATACACACAGTAAGAATACAGTAGTAACATTTCTTGTATTACAGTGTATCTTGTATACACAGTATGTATACACACACATAAAAAGTATATATATATATATATACTTTTATGCATGTGTATACATACTGTGTGTACTAAACATTTGGGTTCTACACAAATTTATAATGTATATAGTATATACTATTATATATATACACTGATCAGGCATAACATTACGTCCCTATTTCTATGCTCATTGTCCATTTTATCAGCTCCACTTACTATATAGGTGCACTTTGTAGTTCTACAGTTACAGACTGTAGTCCGTCTGTTTCTCTGCATATTTTGTTAGCCCCCTTTTACCCTGTTCTTCAGTGGTCAGGACCCCATGGCGCTGGTATGAGTGGATCAGACACAGCAGTACTGCTGGTGTTTTTAAACACTGTGTCCACTCACTGTCCACTCTATTAGACACACCTGCATTGATGGTCCACCCTGTAGATGTAAAGTCAGAGACGATAGCTCATCTCTTGCTGTACAGTATGAGCTAATCATCCTCTAGTCCTTCACTGGTGGTCACAGGACGCTGCCCACAGGACGCTGTTGGCTGGATATTTTTGGTTGACTGTTCTCAGTCCAGCAGTGACACTGAGGTGTTTAAAAACTCCAGCAGCACTGCTGTGTCTGATCCACTCATACCAGCACAACACACACTAACACACCACCACCACGTTAGTGTTACTGCAGTGCTGAGAATGATCCACCACCCAAATAGTACCTGCTCTGTGAGGGTCCGTGGGGGTCCTGACCACTGAAGAACAGGGTAAAAGGGGGCTAACAAAGTATCAGAGAAACAGATGGACTACAGTCTGTAACTGTAGAACTACAAAGTGCACCTATATAGTAAGTGGAGCTGATAAAATGGACAATGAGTGTAGAAATAGGGACGTAATGTTATGCCTGATCAGTCTAAATATAGCACTGGGTTTTGTTAAAGCGATAATATAGGCTAGTAGGTCACAACCCACTCACTCCTTAACAGATAAACTCAAGCAGCAGCCAAAATGAAGTTGCTACAGGCTTCTGTCTCAAACTGACCCCAGAGGAGCCCAATCTCACTCGGCATTTCATTTTCAAAGCTGAAAACTTACAACAAAAGCAACTGCAATCATGACTGTATTATAATAACCAAAATGTTCATAATACATCTAATTTTATCACATGATAACGAGTCTTAGTCCCCACAAAGAGGTAAATACACAACACTCATATATATATACACACACAAACATGCTGCAGTGCTGTACCCATTGTTGTTGTTTTTTTTCCTGGATGGCAGTCTGCTCTTCCTGTCTGGTCGAGTGTGTGTGAAAGCCGGATCGGGCTGCTGACCGTTGGACATGGCAAAACCAGGAAAACCCGGCTGCCTAACTCACATACACACACATACACACTGATCACGGTCAGTCCGTCTGTCTCTCTCTCAGGCCTGACCACTACAGCAGGTGCCAGCTATAGAAAGCCTGGGTCTCTGAGACTGTAAATGTGAGCAGGGTCCATGTGTGTGTGTGCGTGTGTGTGTGTGTGTGTGTGTGTGTGTGTGTGTGTGTGTGTGTGTGTGTGTGTGTTATAAAAAGCTCTCCTCTTCATTCCTAGGCAGCTCAGATGGTGTTTTATTTTAGCATTTTGGTTCTTTGACATTACAGAAGTGCTACTGCCCTCACAGTGGGTGTACACACAGTGGGTCATGGACAGTGTACACATCCACAGAGACTAATTCTAACCCCAACTTAACGCTTAGAAGTTTAGATATACTGATGTTTCACAATTTAAAGGTAATTATACAATTACTTAATTATTTACATGGTGAATTTTGTTACGATTTACATTCTGTATTGACGAATTTGAGTCTTGTGTATTGTTTTATAGTAAAAAAAAACCTCTTGTAGCTCCACCTTGCTGTTGTACAGAGACTGTAGTCTATCTGTTAATGCACAGTTTGTGTTAGCCATCCTCTAACCCTTCCTCAACGGTCAGTTTCTGACCACAGAGCTGCTCTTGGCTGGATATTTGGGTGGTGGTCTACTCTCAAACTAGCAGTGAAACCCCAGAAACACCACTGTGTCTGATACACCAGCACCACTACTACCATGACCACTACCATGACAACTACCATGTCAGTGTCACTGCTATGCTGGGAATGATCCACCACCCAAATACTATCTGGACAACAGCGCTCTTGTGGTCAGAATTCAATTCAAGCTTTATCGGTATGACCACATCACTTGACAATGTGGTCAAAGCATGTAACATACATCAGTCTAGTAAAGAGTTACACCCACACAGACAAGCACAAAGAGTTCAAACACATGCAATTAACAAAGAGGGGGCTCATAAACTGTGCAGCAACAGATGAGCTATGGTCTATAATTGTACACCTCTATAGTGACCTATACAGTAGGGGTTTCTAATGAAGAGGTCAGTGAGTGGAAGCACAAGCTAGGTGTTTCTAATAAAGTGGCCAGTGAGTGGAAGGACAAGGTAGGTGTTTCTAATAAAGTGGCCAGTGAGTGGAAGGACAAGGTAGGTGTTTCTAATAAAGTGGCCAGTGAGTGGAAGGACAAGGTAGGTGTTTCTAATAAAGTGGCCAGTGAGTAGAAGGACAAGGTGCGTGATTCTAATAAAGTGACCGTGGTGTGTATACACACTTTTTTGCACTTATCTGAGCTGCTATTGTTATTAGGAGTGCACTAAGTTCTAAGCTAGTTATGCTAAAACACACACACACACACACACACACACACACACACACACATACGCCATATGCCACTCAGACTTTGGTAGGCAGAACTGGGCTGGGACAGTGTGTGTGTGTGTGTGTGTGATTTCTGCTGAGCAGACCCAGAGCACCTGCCACTGCAGCAGCAGAAAAAAATCCCACAGAACTAGAAACAGCTGTTCACTCTCTCTATCTCTCTCTCTCTCTCTCTCTCTCTTTTGTTCTCTCCTGATATTCTCTCTCTTCTTCTCTTCTTCCCTGTCATTCAAAGTCTTTTTCCCTGTCACTCTTTTTGTCTTTCTCTGTCTCACTCTCTCTCTCTATCTCTCTCACTTTGTCTGTCTGTCTCCCCCTTTCCCCCCCTCTCTCTCACAGACACACACACACACACCCATGAATGCCAACAGTGACAGAGAACTCACTAAAACACTGAACACACACTGACCCAACCACACACACATACCCTCAAACAAATCTCACACACTGTCCTTAAACCCAGCACAGTGGCACCACCTACCGTATGTTCTCTCTATGTATTCTAAAAATATATAGAGACGTCATACACTTATTTATTTGTTTGTTTATTTGTGTTTGTGTGCTCTATTTCTATTTTTCAGCCTACTATTTGTAAAGCACACTGAGCTGCAGAAAAATCGATACTTATTATTATTGTTATTATTCTGCTAACCTCCACTACCAACAACATCAACAGCAACAGTGGCTGAGTCATAGAATAAGAACTTGTGTAAAACATCTAAGTACCAAAGTAATGATTGCACACGACTAGCTGTAATAGCTCTTTAGCCGGCAACATACCATGCTAACACAGCTTAGCTTTTTTTCTGGTAAGGTTATAGTCATTTTTAAACACTCTTAGACTAAGCTGATTAGCAAAACAAGTTGGCTGTAGCTATGCTAGCCACTTAAACGTTCCCAAACCACCTCAAAATTGTACCCCAATATTGTATTTCGATGATAAGTGAAGTATAGCAGAACTTGTTTCAGGATCTTGTGATAAGGGCCTATAACAGAAACACTTTGGGTTAACGCTGGCCTTCGTTGTAATTTGCAGCTGATGGCCTGGTGTGTCACCTGCAGCTGGTATGTGTGCGTGTTTATCTAGATGTTACTAACATAGCTACTTACATGTTAGCATGCTATAATAAGCAACATATTAAGCTAACATAGCTAAACTAGACTTTCCAGGTAAGTTGAACACTATCTGCAACACTAATAGCAAGTTAGCTATATGGGTTCACCTATTCTCTGCTAGTTTCAGCTCTGAGCTAGAGCTATGTTGTGTTTTGGATGCTGGTCAGCCGCAATGGAAGTTAATATGCTGGTTGGCCAGCTAAACCAGCACCAGTCCAGCATAAACTAGCATGAACCAGCTTAGACCAGCATGCCGGTCTGTGTTTGTTTTTTTTTTAGCAGAGCTAAGTGAAATATAGCAGAATTTGTGTTAGCACTGGTATACCTGGATTGCATGTCTTGTTCTTTTGTGGCTCAGTGGCGCTAACACAGTGGCTCGGTATGTGACCTGTTGCAGGCACGTGTAGGTGTTTATCCATATGCTACTAATACTGCTTGTTAGCTTGCTATGGCAGGCAATGTGCAGTACAAAATTAACATAGCTAAGCTAGCCTTTTCTGGTAAGTTGCAGTTATTTTCTGGAACACTACCAGTGTTAGCTTCAGCTGTTATGTGCTAGAATGTTTCAGGAACTGCCTCATGTCAGCACGCTGAAGATGTATTTCAGCCAACAGCAGAATGTAGCATCCAGGCTTACCTGGACTGCATGTCTTGTGTTTTGTAGCTCAGTGGCACTGCCTCGGTTCTCGAGTCACTTTCTGCTGGTATGTGTGCGTGTTTACATATGCTCCTAATACACAGCTACCCATAGCTAACTCTAAGGCAGGCAAAACATACTACTAAGCTAACTAGTGTAGTAGTACTCGAGTCGGTTGTAACAGTGTCAAAACCATAAACTAGCGGTCTTGGTCTTGCCTCTGACTTGACCTCATTTCGGCCTTGGAGTTAGGTGGACTCAGACAATTGTTGTCACGACTTGCTGACTGTGATGTCTCTGTCTGAGGAAACTGGAAGCTGAGTTATTACTGAATATCAACAAAACCAGAATAAACAGAATAAAACAGTCCTTTCTATGCATCAGGGATTCCCAGACATCTGGAACTCATGGTACACACAAACAACCACAAAAGCTTCCGTGGATTTAAGCGATCAGATCGTTTTTTTTCTGACTCGCCTAATGAGAAGGCTGATTTGGCAGCTACTAAGTGCTAGAGGTCAAGCTGAAGAAAGGAAAGCTGAGGAGTCACTTCTGGTCTTGATCTTAAATCGGACTTGACTACTAAAAGTCTTGGTCTTGACTCGGACTTGATGTGTCCCACTCTCAGTCTTGACTCGGACTCGGCTCTAGCAGTCCTTACCACAACTTTAAAGCTAATCTAGCTAAGCTAGAGTTTTCCGGCTTTGTATATAAATGCTTCAAAATAGTACATCAACGTTGTATTTCAGTCATAATGTTGGTTCTTGAGGGAAGAACCTATTAGAAATTCTTTGAGTAAACTCTGGCCTACCTGGACTGCATGTCTTGTGTTTTGTGGCTCGGAGGCGCGCCCCAGTGGCTTGGTGTGTGACCTGCTGCTGTAGCTCTACCAGAGACTGCAGGTACTGCTGCTGCTGCTGCTGCTGCTGCTTATAGCGGGACAGGATGAAGAACAATCCCAGGATGCTCTTCAGGTTCCCCTTACACACCTCTGTACACAAAACACACACACAAAACAGATCCACAGCATTTAAGACACTTTAAGAAAGCCAAGGTGGGTAACAAGTTTCAGAAATCAATGAAATAATTATTGTTATTTTGCTCATTTAATGAAATGAGTTCAAGGACCAACTGCAATTTGGGTAAATATACTGATGCATTGATATTATAGTAATAAAGCAAACAGGCAACAAATGAATAATGTATGTTGCCCCATATATGTCAGTATTACGGGACAAAGCAATGGACAAACAAACAAACTAGCAGGGATATAAACAAATAAAAGTATAATTTATTAGAAGGAGTATTAAATGCATATATAATATGTACTACATGAACATGTAATATATTACAAGAATTACTAAATGTATATGTACTAAACATATATTTACCAAATGTATATGTACTAAACATATATTAGAAGAATTACTATGTACATATGTAAGATGTACTATATAAACATATATTTCAATGGACATAAGATGTATTTACATATATTAGCAATACTACATACATACAGTCATGTGCAAAAGTTTAGGCACCTCTTAATACACAAGTACTGTTCATTTGCTGACCTTAACATATTGGAAAAAAGTTAAATATACCATATGGTCTTTGCAAAAGTTGTGACACATTTTATATTTGATATTAAAATAGGACAGAAAGAAATAAAAATTATGGGCTGAAAGTTGCAGAGAATTTTTTTTTGTGTTCACTTATTTTCACTTATAAAGAGTGTTCAAACTTTTGCTAACAACTGTATAATAGGTACTATACGAACATATATTAGAAGTACACACACACACACACACCACACACACGCACATATATACACATACACTATGTAGAACACAAATATATATTAGAAGGAGTACCACATAAATCTATAATACATTATATATGAATAAATCAGACAGAGTAAGCACTACATAAACAAGCAAAGAGAAACACTTCTTCTTGCCTTTCTCACTGAGCTTGAATCTGTTGAAGCACATTCACTACAGAAAAGTCTGAAACATGAAATGTAATTCACACTAACGACTGACGAAGAATCAAACTGCTAAAGAAGAGAAACTACAGAGGACGGTGTTTTGTTCTGCGTGTGAGGAAGTGGAGTGTGAGGTTTAGTCATAGGGGGCATGGGCAGCGGCTTTGTCTCAGTCTGACCCTGTCTGACCTTTAGTGACCTTTACAACAAGTCTGGATGACACCCCTCTGACCAAGTGCATAAAACACTTGATACACTCAGATTACAGCACAGATTTTGTACTGACTTAATGACAAAACACTGTTCACTGTCAGTGCAGCAGAATTCAACTAGTACGATGACGGTGGAGGGATTTCTGAGTCTGATTTAGTCTTTTTGACCTTCTTTAGGCAGATTCTACAGCATACAACTGTGAAGTGAAAGGGCTATAGTAATAAAGGTTTCTCTCTCATACTCTCTCTCTCTCTCTTTCCTTCTTTCTCTTTCTCTCTTCTTCTCCTCTTTTCCCTTTCTCTCTCTCTCTTACTCTCCTTTCTTTCTGTCTCTCTCCTCTATTTTGTTCTTTCTCTCTCCTTCTCTTTCTCCATGCCCCTCTTTCTTTCTCTCCTTTCTCTTTCTTTCCTATCACCCTCTTTCACTCCTTTCATTTTCTCCCTCTCTATCTCCTTTTGTCTTTTTCCGACACCTGCTCTTTCTGCCCCCCTCCCCGCTTCTAAAAGGCCCTTTACTCCCACTTTCACATCTCTAATATTTGGCAGTGAATAGAAGTGAGGGATGAGTTGGCATTCTCTCCAGCTGATACAGCTCTCTCTCCCTCTCTCTCTCTCTCTCTCTCTTTCTCCATATTCTTTTCTTCTTTCTCTTTCTCTCTCTCTCTCTATTGTTTTCTTATCTCTCTCTCTCTCCCTCTCTCTCTCTCTCATTGCAGTTGTTCAGGGTGATTAATTTGTTCTGTGTTCAGTGTGAGGTGCGACTCTAATTTACAGAAAACATCACTAATAGAGCTACAGAGTGGCATAAAATCATTAAAAAACATTTAAAAGCAAATTTAAAATTTTAAAATCCAGTGCAAATTTTAAAATTAAATTTTAACTACATGGATCAATTCACAGACCTCAGTTTTGGTGTTGTGTGGGTGGTCCGAGTCAACACGCCATTTTAAAATTCCCGTTTTTTTGTGACTATAAAACATTTATGTTTACACACATCGTGTCCAAATATTTTTAGACTCCTGCTCCTCCAGTGTTCTGACTTCTGAAATCAAGGGCGTTAAAAGGGAGTTTGTACCTCTTTGCTGCAGTAACAGCCTCTGTCCTTTTGGGAAGGCTTTACACTAGATGTTGGAACATTGCTGTGAGGATTTGTTTGCATTCAGCCACAAGAGCATTAGTGAGATCAGGCACATATGTTGCATGATCAGTACTGGATCACAAACTCCACTCCAACTCATCCCAAAAGTATTAGATGGAGCTCCATCACTCCAGAGAACACAGTTCCACTGTGGGCATTTATACCCCATTAACTGACGCTTGGCATTGGGCATGGTGACATTAGGCTCATGTGTAGCTGCTCTCTTTCTGTTGGCCAACGGTCAATAAAACACCTGTGTCAGCAATGAGTGACCTGAATTCACTCATTAGCAGAGCTGTTGGGATACCTTTGGTGTGGTTTCTCTAAAGTTCTAAGGACTGCTTTTTTTTAAATGATGCACAACATAGGGCAGCCATCAAAACAGAGCCCATTTACATATATTGGTCTTAAAGGTAAAATAACTAAATCAGCCCTTTTACTTCTAAGAGATAAATAGAAGTTAGGAAATAGTTCAAATCAATATTGTAGATGACAGGAAAATAAAATAGGTGAAAAACGTAAGATACAGTATGTAAGGTACAGAGTACAGTCATATGCAAAAGTTTTAACACTCAAATTACATGTTTTGTTGAATTTCTAAAGGAAAATACCACATCCTCCACAGAGAACAAACTTTAATATGCTGTTTTTCTGTGAGATACTAGAATTTAACATACTGGAAAATTTAAAAACATAGAAAAAAGGTGCCATAACTTTTCATAACCTACAGGCCACTTTATTTTCTTTGTGCAGAAGTGTGTCCTCTGTGGAGGATGTGTTACCTTATTTTCACTTAGAAAATCAACAACACGTAATTTGATGGGGGTTCCCAAACTTTTGTATACGATTGTATGTAATCTGTGCTTTGTGTGTGATCATTCAGATGAAATTATGTTACTGTGAGATGACCTTTGACCCTTTTTTCTTTTTGTTTTGATTTTCTCAGCTATAATTATTCTAAGAAGACGGAGAGAAAGTCCCTCAGACAACTGCCCCCCCAGCCCCCCCCCACCCCAGACATCAGTTACACAAAAAGAGAAGAGAGAATTCACTAAATGACTGTAAACCCACTCATCATGGCTGTGTGTGTGTGTGTGTGTGTGTGTGTGTGTGTGTGTGTGTGTCTGTGTGTCTGTGTGTGTGGTCATCACACCAGCTGTAACCTTGTCCACTTCCTCCTTCTCAGGACATGAAAACAGAGGTTTAACGGCTGGTAGTGGGAAGCTGTTTTTGTGTGTGTGTGTCTGGTAACTGTGTGCCTGTTCAACACACTTTTCATCACTTAGGTCAATGGTTCCTCACTGTAGCATAACCAATTTCTTTGGTTCCGCTACACCTATATCACTTTTTACACCCATTTCAAAAGTTATGCTACATCCACGTCAGTAGTTACACTACATCCATTTCCATGGTTATTCTACACTAATTTCCATGGTTACACTACGGTTTCTGTGATTACGTTACACCCATTTTCATGGTTATGTTACATACATTTTTATGGTATTCTACACTCAATTCCTCAAGACCTAAGGTTACACTACACCCATTTCCATGGTTACACTCCGCCAGCCTCATTATGCCACACCCATATGCATGGTTATGCTCCACTCATCTCAACAGTTACTCTACACCCATTTCTACAGTTACACTTCACTAATTTCCAACTTCAGAGTGCCCTGCCCACACTTCTTAAACCAAACCTACGCTCTCATGTGTGTGTATGAGTGTGGGCTAATCCAGCATCTTTCCTAAAGCTGTGATTGTTAATTAAATGTGTTTCAGAGCTGTACTGTTTAAAGAGGTTCACATTTCATTTTTACGAGGCCTATAGACCAGAGACCTTTAGAACAGACGTGTGATGTGAGAGTGTGCGTGATGTGCCTGCAGTGTTCTTGCCTTCCAGGAAAATAAAACTAAATGTAATAATCTCCTAAACTCTAAAAGGCCTTCAGTATAGTGATGCTGATTGATGTTGTTGTTTAATTACTCAGCTCAAAGCTCTGCGCCATAGAATAATGAAAGTGAGCAGCATTTTAGAGCTGAAACTGAGCTGATAGTGTGTGTGTGTGTGTTCTGCTTTGAAGGGTTTCTTCAGTCGTTACACGACACACACACACACTGCAATGTATTTGGTCCTGGGTTTAGATTAGAAACAGGACACACACTGCAGTGAAATACTGAGGGTCATACACTGACCAATAAGTCAGTGTGACCAATTAACTAACGAATTAACTTACTCATTACAAAGCAGCCAGTTAGAGCAACCATTACCAACAAGAAACAGAGTGAAAACAGCAGATAGATAGATAGATAGATAGATAGATAGATAGATAGATAGATAGAAAACAGGAAAGAGAAACAGAGACAGAGAGAGAGAGAGAGAGAGGGATAGGAAATAGAGGAGATAGAGAGAGATAGTGTATCTTACCTTCAGCAGTTAGGCCCTGTACGCTGACTCCTCTGGCCTCTAGAAACGTCAAGCAAGCCTCCACATTCTCAATCTGAAACACACACACACACACACACACACACACACACACACATCAGTTCTACTGCACACACTACAGAACAAAAAGGTACACACTGTGGCAGAGAGAGATTGGCCCATAAATATGCCTCTAAGAAATAAAAAATAAAAAAATTTGTGTGTGATCGCGGCCTCTCTGGCTGACACACGCATGCCTGCTTTTTGGGGGTCACTGATGATGTCACTTAGGGCGCCATGCCAACAAAAGGCAGCATTGTGGTCGAGACAGTGTGTGTGTGTGTGGTATGTGTGTGAGTGCCACACTGCCAGGCCTGTCTCGCACTCCAGCGCCAGCCATTAGAGGTCAGGCGGAGGTTGCGACACTGCAATGACGGCAATGTGTCACACACACACACACACACACACGCATACCTACACACAGTGACGACAGTGTGTCACACCTACGTCTGTGTGTGTGTGTGAGTGTTGTGGTCCACTCGAGGGCCGTAATAATACAAAGGCCGACTGAGAGCCTGTTAATAATTCAGCACCCCCCACACACACATAGTTTCAAAAGGCTAATGAACGTACAATAAGGCTTTTAATATTGTGTTATACTCAGCCAGCATGCTGTGAATTATCACAGGGCAAACGGGGTCAAGACACACACATACTCACACACTCTGTGCTGCACTGTAAAGAATGAACTACTTTGTGTGTGGAGCTGAAGGAAAGCACCATAGACTCCACGATGAGGAAAGAACAAGAATAAACACACACACATAAACGAGTACATACAGACTCAGGCTTCATATACACTCACAGACTCCATATACACTCATATGCTCCATATACGTGTATATACTTATAGCCTTCATATAACCTCATAGACTTCATATACATTCACTTTGTAGTCTAGCTATATATATATATATATATATATATATATATATATATATATATACATATATGTGTGTAACAACCTTTAACTTAGGACCCTACATCTACACAAACAACCAAACACACACCCACCCACACACACACTCCAGACTGTGTATTTCTAATTTACAGTGGAGCAGTAAATCCAGGGTTCAGTCTGCAGCCTTGAACAGAAAACCTCACAGAAACCCATGTCCTCTCTGACCTCACACACACCAAACTCACACATGCGCACACACTCACTGAGTGAATGTGTACCACACTGATATAAACAGCACTATTTTCCATGCAACAGCTATACATCTGCTTCAACAGCCTTTATAGCAGGATGCTTTTCATGTGTCTCTCATCACACACACAAACACACACACGTACCCACACACACAAACACACACAGTCTGTTCCTGTTTGATTATCTGCCCTCATAAACTCGTACCAGTTACACATGTGTTCTGATTTGGGCTGCTGCCTCATTAAGGAGCAGCTCACACACTCTGCTCTTTGACAGAGAAACCTGGTGCAACTTATGGCCTTTCAAGGAGTTTGTTTAATACCCATGATGTTCAGATGTTCAGAACGGTTATTATTCGGTGAAACCAAAGTGGAAACTCTTTTAGTACCGAGTGAGTATGGAGGGGAGTTCTTTCACCAGATCAGGCATAATATTAAAACCACTTCTTTGTTTCTACACTCACTGTCTATTTTATCAGCTCCACTTACTATATAGGTGCACTTTGTAGTTCTACAGTTACAGACTGTAGTCCATCTGTTTCTCTGCATACTTTGTTAGCCCCCTTTTACCCTGTTCTTCAGTGGTCAGGACCCCCACAGGACCCTCACAGAGCAGGTACTGTTTGGGTGGTGGATCATTCTCAGCACTGCAGTAACACTGACGTGGTGGTGGTGTGTTAGTGTGTGTTGTGCTGGTATGAGTGGACAGACACAGCAGTGCTGCTGGAGTTTTTGAACACCTCAGTGTCACTGCTGGACTGAGAATAGTCCACCAACCAAAAACATCCAGGCAGCAGCATCCTGCGGGCAGCGTCCTGTGACCACTGATGAAGGATGATCAATATAAACGAATATAAACTGTAAATGACTTTACCTTTACAAGGGGGAGCAACAAGGTTGCATAGAGTGGACAGTGAGTGGACAGAGTTTCTCCATACATACATAATATATAAAAATGGATGAATTGATCTGACTACTACACATATATTTATATTAGAATGTGAAAATATTTGAGAACGAGATTAATACTGAATATTAAATTTTGCAGCATCTCTCTCTCTTTCTCTTTTCTGATGAGGTAATAGAGGTCATGGGTTCTGATCACTGTGTAGAAACTGCGATGCTTTGCTAGAAAAAGACCCGCTGAGTCAAACCACAAGCAGCCGTTTTGGTGAGCGGGTTTGGCCTGTTTCTTTCTAATTGTGTGGGAATTTAACAGCTCTTTCGGAAAGTCACATCATCTGTTTTTTCCGAGCTAGGCTGACGTTTTCCAGCTCCAGATATGTCATTAGCAGAAACGGGAGGGAAATGTTTTGCTGAGGTGCATTTTCTCTAAAAAAAGAGAAAATAAATCATATTACAAAATTTACAAGCAACATAGAAGCAAGCGGAATGGAAAATGGTTGCCAGTCTAAACGACGACGTCAAGCTGTTAAAGTTTACAGCCGTGAGTGATAAAGATCGTAAACTGAATGGAGTTTGATATACAGCGATCAGAGCGAGGTTCTGATTCAGAGTAAATGTTTGTAGTTGGGTTTGCTTTCTTTGGTCCAGATGCACCCTGGACGCAGTGATTTACCCATATAGGGATAAAATATACATAGTGAAAGAAAGTAGAAAAAATGCTAACATGCTGCTTTTATATTAATGGTTTCTGTTTATCATTTTGGTCAATTCACTGGAATTCATTTTCAGTTCCTTGATTACTTTGCCTTTTATCTTGATTTAACGTGTAAATAGAATGTGTATGACTTGTCTAAAGAAAACCCTGTGTTTCCCTACGACTACTATTACTACGTAAAATAATACTTTTAAAAAATAATAGTAATTGTATAGCACATTTCATGCATAACAAAGGCCAAGAACTACTCGAAAGCAAAATAAGATTTTAGTACTTTTTGTAGTAGTAACTTGGCTAACAGCGTGTTGGTGTTGAGGCAGATGCTCATAGCCTGGCTATGATGAAGTGGGACCACAATGAAAGCCAGTAAATTCCTGTGGCTGCTTTGGTCTAATCAGCCACCAAATGGTTTTTCACTGTAGCCCAGAGGATCTGCACTCTGTATAGTAATGACTTTGAGGAAGCAGAACAGATCTGGACTGAGAAACACTGTTTTCTAAGACTTCGTAAGAACATAAGAACAAGAATACATGCATAGATAGTTTGTTGACAAACATTTGCTTTGATGTGATATATTTTATTTTGGTGGAATCACTTGATACACAAAAATAGGAGATATTAGCCATGCATAATCTCAGTAAACATTCCTATACACTAGAATAAGAGATATTAGTCCAAAAACTACCTTGATAAACACATTTATACACTAGAACTGGAGATATTAGTCCACAAACCGCAATAAACACTGCTTTACCTTTTCTTTCCTGGATGGTCTGATAGGGTTAGATAAGGGCAAACTGAAGTTCATCACTATTTTCCTCTAGGATTACTGTCTCACATCCTTGATCATCTTGACGGGTGGGTGTGTTCTCGCTACACTTTGAGAGAAGCTCCCACTAGAACACTGGGAAATCACTGCGCATGATGAAACTCAGAGCAAGTGTGCGTCATTCATTATCAGTATTCATCAGAGCCAGTACTGAGTGTTCATTTGAGATGTCAGTCATGAGGCTTAAATCTTTCACATCTGCAGCATCTGATCATCTTTACACATCCAGCTGTTTCGTGTGAATGGTAATTCCTCTTTGCAGTCTACTTTCTGCCTTTATGCTCTTAAGTTCATTGGGCCATTCAGGTCTGACAGACCAGTAACTCCCATGTCTTCTGATAGCTCCCCCTGCATTTTGTTGAATTATTTCTGACTTGTAGTTCATTGAAATAAGTTGAGAAATTGTGTGGAAATAAAGATTCTTAACTTTCATTATATACCACTTCAGTGCTTGTAAGTGGAAAAGGAGATATTTTATTATGATATGAATTTGATGAAACGTTATCACTGCATGCAAAAGTTTGTTTTGAGGCAAGGCTGTATTTTTGTCATTTTCTGATGCGAAACAACCTTAACGTTGTTCAAACTAAAAACTGTAAGTCGAATGTGAATCTGATTCATTAAGAAACCAGATACTCACTTATGCCGCTTCACAACTCAGGAGTGGGTTCCAGCATGCTTTCTGACATTAAGAGCATTTACAGGGGCTTTATAATCCGATAACTGCATGAATTCAGATTTTGTCCATAATCCGTGTTTACGTGCACTTCAATAATCAGATAAAAAGGAAACTCCGGGTCTACGCTGGTCAGGCAGTAATCAAATTTCTGCTTTGCAACCAGGCAATAAACTCACAGAAGATGACATAAACGTAACATAATATTCAAACTTCATGCTGTAGCTTTTTTTTAAAAACATTGCGCCACTTTACCTGACAATATGAACATGCGTCATCTAAAAGATGGAGAATATGTAAATCCTTAATTTCGTCAAGCGTGTAGTTGGTTTTGTTGTTTTGTTGCCGTCTCGTGGGTGCTGTGTTAAATGCTTCTCGCTTACTTCCAGTACCACAGCCAATTTGCCAATTTTCACACATGCACAGACTGAGAAATCCGAAAGAAATCCGAGTAAGAGTGTTAAATCCGGCTATATTTATCAGATTTCTTAATTGAATTTGTAGATCTTAGTCAGATCTAAGAAATTGGAGTATGCTGTTTACATGACCAACTGAATAATCAGATAACTGCAAAAATTCACTCATGATTGGATTATTAAGTGCATGTAAACACATTCTTTCTCTTCACATCACAAAGGCCTTAATACACTGTGCATGTTTTATTTGTGTGATTTATTTGAATATAATTTGAACATGTGTATTAGCTGATAATATCCTGCATACCAAATGCAATTTTTC